AATGTCCACCCATATCAAAATCGAACTTGGCGGTTTTTTTTAATGCAATATTTAGCATTATTTCGCGCATTAAGTTCCCGGAAATTAGCAGCACATTCGGGAAATTGAAGTTGAGTGTTTTTTTTTTTCATAACTCGCGGAAATGATGACAAACGGTTTCTCCGGACATTTAGTTGCAAATTCACAAGATATATTATAATTTATGTTGCATAATTATCAAATTCGTGGCCTTTCTGTAACCATCGGTTCGAGACAGATTCTCTGTCGCTCGGTTAACTAGTGTTCATTCAACGCAGTAGCGCACTTCAACGAACCGCTGATCAGTCTTGCTGTCCGCTACACCATTGTAAAAATTCATTACGGGCTTGAATCATCGCGATATGTGTCATATGCCTTCCAACGATAAGAAGTGTTTCAGAATTGAATTGTAAAAAGTTGGTTATCAGATGTATTATTTTTGTTTTACAAGAGATTCTTGCCTCACTCTGAGCACCTATGCATTAGACCATAACAACGTAAAAAAGAAACATGAATAAACAACGGCCAAGGGGAGCACAGCTTCACGCACGAAGCCCGAGAAGCCCGGGCAATTGGCGCCTCGGAGTCGCGTCCAGCCGGCGCGCCGGCAACCCGGCCGTGGCCGTGGGGCAGGCGCCGCGACGTTGCGGCCACTGCGCGCCTCCGTCAGCGAAGGCACACGGCACACGGCGAATTCTGCGAATCCCGATGAGCCAGTAGATTTATTGGAGTAAGACACATGGCAGCGTCTCACAGGCGTCCATTCAAGACGCCTCCTGTCTCTATGCGACGCTCTAATTGGCCCACTGAGTCGTAGCTTCCACAGTTTGCTAAGTGTGCCCATAAGCAACCAGCAATGCAGCTTGGAATGTTGGCACGACACGTTGCGCTATCTAGCGACTGAAAAATAAAACAACTTGGATAGTCCAGGACGGCCTGGGTCGCGAGGACTGTGGGCGGGCGCATTTAGAAACCGCGTGTGAACGTGGCATTTTGGATCGGCGTGAGCCTTTTTGGAACTCTTTTTTCATAAAATTGAGTCTCAACTTCACGTCTCTATGACCTTTCCGGGTTCCTGTGACATCTCCCCTAAGCCTAGAGTTTTCCCCAAAAATAAACGCCGCTACTGCTGCGTGAAGGACTGCCACGGTCGTGCAGGTGACCCAAGCGTCAGACTTTACCGCTTCCCTTTAAGACCTTGGGAAGCGACACGGCGACAAAGTGGATTACTGAAGTGCGATGCATCAAGTAAGTGAATTTTACATTAATTGTTGAAGTGAACGAAAATAGATGTGCAGGCTTGGAAAGTGGTCTGACAGACTCCTTTTGCAAAATAACGTATTTATACTAGTTTTTTTTACGAGTCTCTGAGACAACCATTTAGAGAAATACAGTAGGAAAAATTGGGAGGCACTCACTTGATCGAATGACGTTTTAGCGAACGCCCACGTTTCATCGAACGACACTTTAGCGAATAGTCGGACGCCGCGAAGCGGCTATAGTGCGCTGTGGTGTGTGTTATCATGTGCAACCAACTCGCCCAAGCTGCTACGTTAACGCGAAGCGGCGTTTTCGGGTGGGCCAAGTGGGTTCATAGTTTTGTAATGAGCTGGCGCAGACTGTCGCCGCGAAGCGGCGCAAAGCGCAGCGCGACGGATGGGTTAACGCGCGCCCCCATTATTCGCTAAAACGTCCATTCGCTCAAATGTCGCCGTTCGCTAAAATGTCATTCGCTCTTGTGATATGGACCCGGAAAAATTGGGCCGATTGTTGCTTCGCTTTGACGTCGAGAATCAGGCGATCAGGTCTTCAAGCGAGATGCCCTTCGACCTGTTCCCGGCACTCGTAGTTGTAGGCGTGCATTTGGTTGCGACCGCGCGCGCCGTTCGGCACGCGCGGTTGCAACCAAAACCTTTTAAGCATGCAAGTTTTTAAATAGTGGATTTTCGTAGAACAAATTTTTGTTTGTTTCGGCTACCACATTTAATGCTGAGTCTGGTAACAAATGTGACGGCGTGCGGAAAACAGGATGCTTACTTTTTTTCTGGGAAAAGCTCATGCGAAGCGTAAATATCCTTCTCATATCCTGTCGCCAGACTTGTGCACTGTTCTCTAGCACGGAGAGTTTGGTTCTAATTACCCACATTTTATTCTAGTGTCGTGGGGGCGCCGGGAGAAGATGAGGACGGTCGAGCGAGGCGCGAGCGGGGGCCAGCCGGCGAGGAAAGAGGAAGAACGTGCTGCACGAGGCTGGGGCCGGGCAGGAACGATAGAGCCGTTCTGGCTGGTCCGGCCCATGTCGGTCCCAGGAGCGTTCCACCAGCGAGCTTCGGATCAGGACCGGCGGAAACGGCGAGCCTGGCCTTATCGGCCTAGTCCATGACGGTCCAGGAGTGGTTCTGCAGCGAAACTCTAGCTGTGATAGCCCGGAACAGCTAGCGTACGCAGTGCGTGGGAAGGACGATCCGCAGGCGTGGACACGGACTCCGACTGCCAGCTATGGACGACGGGCGACAACTAGGGTCGGCGGGTCCGGACTGCCGGCTCTCGAAGACGGGCAACCGGGAAGTTCAGTAAACCTATTCGCTGCCTTCTCGTTGCGTTGTGTCACTTCCTGGGAGACGAGCGAATCACAGACCGATCGGGCGGCGATTATTATAGAGCGACGCCGCAAGCGCACGAAGACAGTTCAAACAGGTGTCCAAATGACAGCTTCAGATTATGCTCTCAACACTTGGACCTATCAAGGCTCCCGATGGTCTTAAAAAACCGCATAAAATAAAAAGGGACATGGCGCGCACGTGCACACGGGGACTGCTGAAATCGGGTTCGCCGCCGCTCGCCACGGCCCGACGGGCAGACTAGCCACTGGCCGACCCATTAAGAGAGACCGGCCCCTCCGCTTGTGGCGCCGAATGCAGCACTCTCGTGGCGCCGCCTGGCCATTGCCGGCTGGCTGTCCTGCACTTGCGCCATCTTGCCCCAAACAACACTTAAAAGCATGATATCGCACAATGTGAAATACCTCACTCGAAGCTTCGATCGATCATGACACCGCCTTTGTCGCACTTCCTGAGTGATGACTCATTGCGAAAGGTACGTTGAGGTGCGCGGAGAAATGAAATTCCGGGTGCTGATGAGGATCATGCGAGTCATTTAATTTTATTGCAGCCGTGCGAACGTTATAGTTGACGCAATCATAAAATTCTGTGCCCACTGACACCAACTTGACAACAGGAACCGAAATACACACGAACCTTTCTTTGCCACAGAGAGAGGAGCGCTAGCCGTTTGGAGCGCTTCCTTAACTCCGACGTTACCGCGCCGCCTCGAGGCGCCGTCAGTCCGTTGGCGTCTCGCAGTCTGCCGTGAAGCGAAGAGCGAACGCCGAGGAGAGACGAAAGCGACCCCCCGCCCCCCCTTCCTCATACTCCCTCTGCCCTCTACAGCTGGTTGACACATTGCGGAGGGCGCTGGCAAGGAGGAGCCTGCAAGAACAAGCACCCCCCCCCCCCCCTCCTCCGCCCTCCACAGGAACCGGCGCGTTCACATGGCGAAGGAGCAGGCGAGCGACACCCAAACCAACTCTGAAGGCCCGAACCCCACGCAGTACTTGCGAAGCGAGAGTCTCCTCGCCCACTAAGACGGCCCGGGAGCTCACGTGACCAACCCAGCTAAGAATATACCAGCGCTCACCGCGACTCATCATGGCCATGGGCCTCAGGCTCACGCCATCACGCAGACTAATGCGATCACCGGACTCATATCCACCCAAAGACTCACGTCTTGATTCAGGCTCATGCTCATGAGCCTCGAAACTCACAATCACACTCAAGAGACCTCAAAACTCACACTCATGAGTACTTCACTTAGCGCTCAAGCTCACACTCACACTCAAGAGTTGTAAGAACTAACAATCACACTCACGGTCAAACTCACGTTCATGAGTTCGCAGGGCTCACACTCGCACTCACACTCATTAGTTCTCAGAACTCGCGATCACACTCGCGATCAGACTCACGCTCATCAGTTCTCAGGACTCACGCTCACACTCACACTCATAAGATCACGTACCTCACGATCACACTCACACTCACAATCACAATTTTTCGAGACTCGCGGCCTCACTCACGATCACCTCAAATCTGATGGTGAGCGTGAGTGATCGTGAGTGATCGCACTCATGAGTGAGAATGCCGAGGTATGCTCCTCGGTCACAACACCTTGGACGACTCATGCCACGCCCAAAAGACCGTACAGCTAAAGACAGAGCCTAAGGCGTTATATATGAAATTATTGCGGGGTTTGCACGGCCTCATACATCGGCGAAACATAGAACTTTATAGAAAGAATCTGTCGGCACAAAAACGACGTATGCAAGTTTGATCATGCACGTGGCGCGGTCGCTGAGCCCTGCGACGTCAAGGACCATCGTATTAACTTTAACATCACAACAACACATGCATTATTGACGTTGAGACGAATCCCGAAAGAGATTGTTACTCAAATCCTGGCATATTCAGATAACAACACAGAACATCAATCGGTCTCTCGGAGCTTTACCATCCGCATATCTGAACGGGCTTTGTCACTTTATTGAAAAGGTACAGCCGTCGAAAAAGACCAGATACCCACCGTAGAAGAAAAAGAAAACGACACTGCTCCCTAACGGCCATAGCCGTAGTCGCCCCTGAAGAAGAGGCCGGATTGGCTTCGAAACGTAGGGTCCCGATAGAAGGGCTTGTTTGGTGTTTTTAATAATATTACATGAGCTTCCAAACACCGAATCTAATGCCGAGAATGTCGCACTTTTGAAGTGTTTTGCAGATGAATCTGCTTTGTACTACGCACCAAAGTGGCGGCGCCCTCAAAAATATCAATACACAGAGTTCCGATACTCTAAGCGTAGCTCATTTAGAGGCTCTGGTAGCAAGCTTGCGCTGAAACCGGGACAAGCGGAACTCCTCCCTGCCTTTCTCATTATGTCGGTGACTAGAGCTGATCTCTGCATTCTTCCAGGCGATTTTGCCTACTACGATACAGATGACCGAGTTCACTTCGTGGAACGAATCAAAGGAATGATCAAGTGCATAGACCAACAGGTAGTGCCTACAGAACTCGAAGTGCTGCTCGCCAAACATGGCGGTATCGCCGAGGTGGCTGTGCTGGGTGTGCCACACCAGGTCTACGGAGAAGCACCGGCCGCCATCGTCGTGCCCAAGAAGGAGATCGAGAACGTTGGTGGAGCAATGGAAAGAGAAATCAAGGATATCATTGCAGGTATCTCAAATTCATTACCCAGTTGAACGGTGTTCAACTTTAAATTACAGGGCATTTTCTCAATGAAAGATGCTCTTTGAATGCATATCGTCCCGATTTTTTTCGTGATTTTAAGGTCCCCCTCGCGAAATGACTAGTGAAAGCACATGTATTTATCTGTCAGATGCGAGCGAGGTTTGTATTTTGACTAACTCCTTATAATATAAATGAGAGTTTGTGTCTTTTATAATTGTTCAACTAAGACAACTGCTACATATTCCTTTCGATGAAATGACCCAAATGGATGTCTCTGGGACCTTCGTTTTAATATCGCAAATTGATTCTCAAAGAACAGTGAAAGCGTACCCTTTTCTCTCTCACGATGCACCAGTCACTTATTTCAGAGGAAAAGTGTTCTTCGACTAGGGGGTTTAAAAGTCTTGGTGGACATTCTAATCACATCTTAACATGACACGTATCCTACGTCCTCAGCTTTTCTATGTCTATCAGCAACCCTTTGTGACTTCGCATATTGAAGATCAGTACCTTCAAATATCGAACTGCCTACCGGAAAGAAAGAAAACTCCGAACAATGGTTTGTATTGCTAACGCTAGCTATGATTCTAATTTAATCTCTACCGAACATGAATTCACAGCTCGCTTAATGTCGCAAGACCCTTGTACAATGGTAAAACGCAGGCAAGCTGGTAGAAGTAGAACACAAACAGAGCGATCCTGATCCTTTCCGTAGAGGTAGTTGACGAGAAGAAAAATTTTGATAAGAATACATAGCTTGCACTGCCGTCACTTGATCTTGATCAAATAACATATCGGGAGAAAAGGCGCATGAGAGCGTAACTTTCGCTGCGTTAACGAGGCGCTTCTGGGGACCAGAAAGAAGAGCGGGCTAATGTCACATGCAAGCTACGTATACAGATGAAAATTTTCCGGGTGTGATATAAAATCTGAAGCGTCCCCCCCCCCCCCCCTCCCCCATATTAAGATTTTCAGTAAAAATTGCACTTTAGGGGTTTCCAATTAGGTATGCTCGCCGCTTACTCTGGAAAATAGTTCACGACCACTTTTAAGAATGTTTGTACCTTTTCAGTCCGCATTTTTTTCTCTAAAGAGCGCTCTCTACTCCCTCCGAAGGAACCTGTGCTGAGCACAAGCATCTCTACGGATGCGTCTTCTTCGTGGAAGCTCTTCCGAAAACGGAGAACGGAAAGGTTCAGAGGAAAACACTTTTCGATACTTGGGCTAAGTGTACCCGGCTGCCTCTATAACGAACAAGTGAACAACTCCCTGCAGCCAATTTTCTTCAGCCAGCCTATATGAGAGCTTTGGAATTGGTCGCTTCAGTGTATCTTGACCTGGTATTGTGGGATCCGTCTATGACTTTTCTCAATAAATATTAGACAGGTATGGGCAAAATGATTTCCGAAATGTATTGAATCAAATGCTTAAAAAATGTATTTCCGCATCTTCATATTCGTTTTCAAATACATTTTGTGCTTAACAACTTTCATGTTATACTTAAATGTAACCCAGGAGCATTCCTATTAGTTTTCGAAGGCTGATTATAAGCTAATTAGAGGCTTGGCTTCAGTGTTGCGGAATGGGTACGCCCATTCTATTTCAGCTTCATTCCTAAAAATTGGAGTTTCTGACAATTCCACTCCTTTCAGATCTTAGGAATGGAGACACTGGGCCCGTTCAAAGCCCAGGAAGGGCTGAACTTTGTCATTTCATTCATCTAACTCCTAAACGCAAAAAAGGGCACTTAAGAGCTACATTGTGTTATCGGAAGAAGCAGAATCAACCTGACATTCTCAAGGTCAGAGACAAGTGAAAAACTATGCAAAATATTTTGTCAGAGCACTCATTTTATTAAGTTCGAAAAGTAGCTTAGCGGTGGTTGTACGAGTGCGCTTCGTGTCCCTTGGTGTCACTACAAAGACCTCGATCAAGCAATTCAGCGAAAAGAAAAAAGGAAAGGTTTGCAACACACGCCAGAAATTAAACCAGCAGTTTTCTCCGGAAACGGCCCGCGTACAAATACACAAATACAAAAACATCAAAAAAATCCGTTTTTGATGTTTTTGCGTAGCTTATGAGCTTCAGCTAGCTTGACGCATTATTTGGACTTTCCCGAATAAACAAAAATGTGTGGTTCACATTAAAGGATGAGTTTGCAACAGTAGTATACCATCATATTCGGAAAATTAGTGAGCATGAGAGTGCATTGACCAGTTCACTCTTTGCCAGTGGAAATACTAAAGAGTCTGAACATTGAAGCACGGGACGAGAATGTGGTTAACTCGCAGCGGCTCTGGGTCACTTTGGAGTTTTGACCCTGCGTTTCGAGTGTAGTAAAAGCTGCCTGCGAGGCTTTTCACTTGTGTATCTGCCGCAATACATTGTAATCGCTACCGCCACGTTCATGATTCACTTTGTGCAATGCGGTGTGAAGCGGGTTTTGTTGGTTACAGTAATGGGGAGTATATCAAATAGTAGTATTTAGAATACGTTTCTAAAAAGCTTTTAGCTTCTTGTTTTCCTTTTTTTAACGTTAACATCTTAGACGAATATGTGTGGCTGGGTAGAACTAGAGTAATAAAAACGAAATACTCCAATCAGAGCTTTCAAAAAGTGCCTTGGTTGGAGTATTTCCTTAATTACTATATTTCAGTATTTGGAATTTCGTATTTAATTACATATTAGCGATTACACATGTTTGTGGATTGTATATGAAGCTAAAGTATTCAATATTTCAATAAATTCTATTTCAAATACCCGTTGCTCCTCGCAATTAGACGCGATTTTGTGCTATGGGAGTGTCGATAAATCTCATAAAAATTGCTGCGCTTTGCACGCAATAAACGTTGAAACAAAGGAAAGAAGAGGAGAACAATGAATTATTGGAGTGGGTAGAATTATGAACTCTTCCCTTGGGTGCGTTTATTTTTGAAAGGATTCGCATTAACGACTGTTTGAAAAATGCTTTGTTGCTTTTATTAAACCTTTGAAAGTAAACTCGCTCTGAAAACATTGTTTTTCACGTTGCACTTCCGTTTCATATGCGAAATGTCTTTTATTTTTAAAGCTGCAACTTTTATTTTAAGCTTTTTCTCCTTCGTACAAACTGACTCCCATATTTAATTCGGCACGGTATTTTTATGCAGAGAGAAATTAATGTCTAAACTGTCAAATTATGAAAGCAAGGTATATTTCTAAAACTATTTCTAGATTATGAAAGACCCACCTGCCTTGGTATTTGTATCTTGTATTTCATAACTTTTCCAAAAAGTGCAATTGCCTTATAACTAAATACATTTTCGTCTAAGTGCTTTGTATTTGTAATTTAATATGACTGTTTAATTATTTCACTCATCCCGAGGTTCAGGGTGTACGAGGGCGCTCTGCTTTCTTCCGCCTTTGGCAGACCGACAATTATAGATGGGTGCGCAGTGCGGAAGGGGTTTTTGTATGCCGGCAAAAGAGTTCTTTGATATTCGGCTGAACGAATGCACAAGCTAACTTAAATTTTGACATTCAGATGTGTTTAGTTCTATGTGACCCTGTAACAAAAGTAACTAAAAGAGCGGACACGTACTATAGTATGAGCAATTTCATACGATTCTTTCATTCTCCCTCTACTGCATACGCATAACAGTTTCCCAAGTATAAAAATTCAACACTTACAACAAACTGTAGCAGCTGTACAATGAAGTTTGTCTGAATAAGTGGTGACTTCATGCAACGTTGAAAAGTTCCAGATCTGTATCTGTTGAAACCGAGCATCTGCGTGTCCTGCCAAACTATGCTGAAATCCACGCGCCCAATCGTCAGGTGGCAGGGACTGATTTTTTACCTTATTTTGCCACTAACCACGCTGATCAGTCCGGCAGCCACCTGCGGTGCCTTTTGTTCGACGCTTTGTGTCTATGAATTAAAAAATTGGTCTGGTATAGGCAGGGTTGCCATTCATATCTGATGCTCACACTCTGATGATTCATCTAGAGTACAGCAAGCAGATTGATGATTTGAATATGATGTTCGCACTGTCATGCATGATTGAAGCGCCATGGTAAGCGGAGTGAAAACTCACATGTGATTATCATTCTGCGGCGCGTCATTGAATTGATATTGCATGCAAAGGAGGGCTCATATCTGATGCCGAGCCTGCGGCGCTTGATTCGATTACTGTCAGGCAAAGTACCAATTGAGCTTTGATGCTCACACAGTGACGCAATATTTAATTGCTACTGCAGGCAGAGGAAATATCCGCATCTGATGTTTGTGCTATGGAGATTGACTGAATTGCTATGGTAGGCAAAGTGAGCATTTATACTTTATTTTTCCGCCGTGATTCTTGACTCAAGTTCTGATTCGTTTAATGCTATGGCAGGCAGAGTGCGCATTCAAAATTGGTGTCCGTACTATGACGCTTGATAATAAATCATAAAATGTTTTTTAACGCCCCTCCCAGTCCCAAAATTTTGTATGTCCGTCCGTCCGTGCATTTTCCGCTAAATTTAGCCGGGAAAGTGGCATCACGTGACGTCACCTTAGGAAAATTGACGGCACGTGATCTATACGTCAATTCCTATTCCCCGCTAAATTGAACGGGGAAAGTCAGCTCCAATTTAAGTTTAGAACTCATTACCCGGAAATATTCGATCACTATCGCCTTATAAATTTCCTGTTTTCCGATAACAGCGGTTGATGGTAATGTTTATGTTTTTTGATGTCGTCTTCCTTTTTAACTGTATGTTCGCAATTGTCTCATAGTCTCCAACCCTGCAATAACCCCAACAGGGCCACAGTATGTTAAAGAAAAAAAAAAAAAAGAATAGCGTTTTGTAACTATAGTGGGAACTTGTCGTTTCGTGGCCCATACACCAATTCAATTACCCGCTAAATTTAGCGGGTACCTGAATAGATTCACGTCTTGTGACCTAGATATCAATTCAGTTTTCCCGCTAAATTTAGGGGGAGAATTTGATGTCATCTGCCTCCAATTTTCTTACGAATTCGCTCACAAATTTTCTGTAATACATTTAATTAATTACATTAGTTTGAAAGTAAAGGTGGTTGCCAATTTTTCAAAAGTTTGACGACTGTATCCTTTTCGCCACAAAAGTGTTACGGTCGTTAGTTTTCTGCACAAGATAGATATTGCTGTTGAATTTGTACTGCTGCCCAATTGTTTTCATCGTGAACGCAAGAAAACACGCGTGCGCACTTCGTTGCCAACTGTGAAACAGGAATAAATTGTCGGTGGTTAGCAAATCGCCTGCATGCGGAGATCGACGAGGAGTGTGAACTGACCACACAAAACTTAAACGGGACTTGGTTGCCCCCATTAGCAGACGAATAGATGAAGTTTTTTTGTTTTTTGTTTTGTTTTTATAATAAAATTCACAGACAAACATTAACTATAGTCGGTGACAGGTTAAGAGTTCAGGGGAAACTCCCCCCATCTCTTCCCGCTTTAGAAGATCCAGCACCAGAAAGGAGGCGACCTCGTCTCCAGCTTTCGCTCTGCAAAAGTGGAAAGAGGTGGGAGGGGTTTCCTCTGAACTCCTAACCTGTCACCGACTATAGTTGTGTGTGACGCCTCTGAAACGCGAGCCTCTTTTTGTCTAGGACGCTCGCTGAAAGAATCAATACAGCAACAACCGGATCATGCTTAGATTCGCAAGTGGTGTTTCAGGCACACTCGAACGCTTAAGTGCGCTCTGCTTCGCACGTGTCCTTCTGCGCACCATAAAAATAATCTAATAAATAAACAGCGATATATGACGTCTTTTCAGGCCACGCAGAATATCATTAACCCACAGCTGCAAACTGAGACCTATATTTTCTAGCAAAAAAATATGTTTCCAAACTAAAACATCACAAAACCCGATTTCCACCTGTGGCGTAACAAAGTACGGAACTCGTACACCAAATTTAAAGGGGGGGGGGGGGGGGGGGAGGAGGCGAAATAACATCGCTTCTAAAGGCTGAGGAATATGCTGTATACGGAACGTTCGCATTCTGGCTGTGTTGGCTGAAAAACTGTGCGGCTGATCGGGGACATGCAACAACCAGGTATGTGAAGATTAGCATACTCAAAGAGAAGTGTATGAGACGCGGGCTGATAAACTCTACAGTCAGTGACAGGTTAAGAAAAGTTTTCTGGCTGGGGAGGAGGAAGCAAACGGAATGCTGAAGAAAGAAAGAGGTTTCCTCCTCTTTCGTCCAGCATTCCGTCTGCTTCCTCCTCCCCTCTCCTCCA